AATATGCAAAAGAAAATTTTAACAAGCCAATTAAATCAACAAGAAAACTTATTCCAATCGTTACAACAACGAGCCTTTAATTGTGAGCTTTAACCCTTTTGACCCCACCCACCAATCACGCTACAATACCAAAACCAAACAAAAATAAAGCCATAAAATAAAAAAGGGAGAATAGCCATGATAATCGAACTCGCTACCTTACCCCCCGAAATCCAACAATATATCGCCAAAGTCGAACAAGGCGAAAGCGTCAGCTTTGCCAAAAACGGCAAAATCATTGCCACCATCAACCAACCGACACAGCAACCTGTCAAAAGCCTAATTGAACGCTTCAGCCAGTCGAACCCTGCAGTGGCCGATATCGACCTAGAACTACCACCGAGACAGCTATCAAGCAAAGATAGTATCGAGATATTTGACTGATGTACCTACTCGACACCAACATCATTAGCGAATTGCGATTGCTACCAAAAAACCGAGCTAATGCTAATTTTGTCGCTTGGGCAAGCCAATTTCCTGATGACCGCATTTTTTACATCAATAGTGTGGTGGTCATGGAGCTTGAACGAGGTGTCATGCTAAAACAACGTAAAGACCCAGAGCAGGGTAATATCCTAGCCAATTGGCTATATAACGAGATATTACCCAGCTTTTCTGGTAGGATTTTGGACATTGATAAAGCGGTCGCTCATGTCTGTTCATCGCTCCACGTTCCCAACCCAAAACCCGAAAACGATGCTTGGATAGCTGCCACCGCTATCGCACATGGTATGACATTGGTTACCCATAACGTCAAAGATTTTAATGGTATCAACGTCAATATCATCGACCCTTTTGAATTCACCCCATCCAGCAGTTAATCCCAATTTTCGAGCCAACCTATGAGTAATTTCGCTTTTATCGCCGACCAGTTTCCAAGCCTTGCAGAAACCGCTATCGGAGCGGAAAAACTCATATATGTCTATCCACCCGCAGCGATCATGGCAGCACGTCAGTCGTTAGAATCACTAGTGTTGTGGTTGTACACCTACGATAAAAAACTTTCTCAGCCGTTTGATAACTCATTAAGCAACCTACTAAGAGAGCCGTGCTTTACTAAGCTAGTGCCTGAATATGTCATATTGAAAATGGATACGATCCGTATCATTGGCAACAAATACGTACATGGCAAGGTATCCGTTCCACCTGAAAAACAAAAACAGCAAGCTATCAGCACGATTGCTGATTTATTTTTGATTTATCACTGGTTCGAGCGTACCTATGGTAGTCCTAGCATCGATCGTGATCTAGCAAGAAAGTTCAAACAAGAGAATATCCCTAATCCGACTGCGCAGCTTACAACTTTCCAAACCAAGCTTAGTGAACTACAACAGCAAAACCAAGCCTTTGAAGAACAAATTGTAAAGCAGCATGAACAGCTTAAGCAAACTGAAGAGCAGTTAGCTATACGCACGGCTGATGCACAAGAAAAAGAACGCTTACTTGCTGAGATTGATAGTGAATTAGCCAAAAAACGTGCTGAAGTCGAACAGGCAAAACTTGATAATCAAGCCTATAACCAAACCCACCCAGACACCACTGACTACAATGAAGCTCAGACACGGGCTATATTAATTGATTTATTGCTTGAAGAAGCAGGGTGGATCATTGGTCGCAATGTGATAACCGAGGTCAAAGTAACTGATTTCCCATCTCAAACAGGTGAAGGGTTTGTTGATTATGTTTTAACAGGCGATGATGGCATACCGTTAGCAGTAGTAGAAGCTAAGCGTACGGCAAAATCAGAACAAGCAGGGCAACAACAAGCTAAGCTTTACGCAGATAGTCTAGAAAAGCAATACGGCAGACGACCTATCATCTTCTACAGTAATGGGTATAGAACTTTCATGTGGGATGATGGTGTATATCCACCAAGAATCGTACAAGGATTTTACACCCAACAAGAGCTAAATCGATTAATTCAGCAGCGAGCCACCAAAAATAAGGAGGAAAGCCTAAGCAAACTAAGCATTAAAGAAGAAATCGTCGAAAGAGCCTACCAAGTCAAAGCAGTAAAGTCCATGCTCAAGGTGTTTGAGGAAAATAAACGAGCAGGCTTACTCGTCATGGCTACAGGTACAGGCAAAACTAGAACTGCTATTGCTTTGGTCGATATTCTGATGAGAGCTAACCGTGTACAGAAAGTTTTATTTTTGGCTGATCGTACCTCATTAGTCCGACAAGCCTTTAATAACTTCAAAGCCTTATTACCCAACACAGCCTGTGTTAATTTAATCGAAAACCGTGAGCAAAATGGTCGTGTTTATTTTTCAACTTATCAAACCATGATGGGATTGATTAATGAAAAAAACGCTGATGGCACTCGCAAATTTGGCATCGGAATGTTTGACCTAGTTATCATTGATGAAGCACACCGCAGTGTCTATCAGAAGTTTGGTGAGATATTTCGCTACTTTGACAGCCTATTAGTAGGTTTGACTGCCACACCACGCGACGAAGTAGATCGAGATACTTATCATCTATTTGGCTTAACTCCTGGTATGCCGACTGACTACTACAGCCTTGATGAAGCGATAGACGAAGGATACCTCGTCCCACCCAAAGCCTTCAACGTTCCACTAAAATTTATGCGGGAAGGTATTAAGTACGATGAGTTATCTGACGAAGAAAAAGCGCATTGGGAAAGCTTAGATTGGGGAGATATTGAAACCCCCGGAAGAAGCGCGGTACCAGCCATGAATAAACTATTATTTAACACCGATACCGTCGATAAAATCATCTGATGGAAAACGGCATAAAAGTTAAAGGTGGTGATTGGTGATGCAAAACTATCATGTCGATAAAATGCTACATCATCTGATGGAAAACGGCATAAAAGTTAAAGGTGGTGATTGCTTAGGCAAAACTATCATTTTTGCGGTCAACCAACGTCATGCTGAATTTATCGCTGCACGCTTTAATCATCACTACCCCTCGTATCAGGGCAAATTCGCGCGTGTTATTACCCATGCCGTAAACTACGCCCAAACATTAATTGATGATTTTAGTAAAAAGGATTTACCTGAGCCCCAAATCGCCATTTCAGTTGATATGTTAGATACAGGTATCGATGTGCCTGAAGTCGTCAATTTGGTCTTTTTCAAAACTGTACGTTCTAAAGTTAAATTTATGCAAATGATTGGTCGTGGTACAAGGCTTTGCAAAGATCTGTTTGCGCCAGAGCAGGATAAAACTGAGTTTTATATCTTCGACTACTGCGGCAATTTCGAATTCTTCAATGAAAATCCAAAAGGCGCAACAAATTCTCCAGCTGAGCCAT